CCCAATCGGAGCCCGCCCTGCTGCTCTATAAAAGGCGGCCGCGGGTCACCTTCCGCCTCTCTGGATGATGGCGGCGAGTCGTGGTGCTGGTGTGTTCCGTCGGGAACCATCCATCGCAATCCGCCTTCCTCGGGCCACTGCCGGTGATCGGCTCTGCTGCATCAGCGCCCCGTGGGCACSGTGCCCGGCGGCGGCGCTTCGGTGCCAGCTCCGATGGCTGTGAAGGGCAGCGCGGCCTTTCTGCCGCCTTCCTCGCCAGGCCCCGGCCCCAGGTGAGTGRGGGACCCCGAGGCTGGGCTCGCCCCGTGTCCCGGGACAGGCGCCCGTTGGTGGRAGAGCCCCGCGGACCCGCCCGGCCCTATCGAAGCTGCGTCTGTCCGTGCTGTGGCAGATGCAGTCAAAAAGGAGCCGAAAGTGAAGAGATTTTCCTCGACGGTCGCCGGTCAGCTGGAGCCTTCGTAACTGTCCGGCAACATTTCGGGAAAATACACTGCCCGTTACGGGCTAGGGGGTAGCTGCAAGCATCTAGGGTGCTGGAAGCAGGCGGCTGCCCCAAATCCCTGCCCCTGGGGTCGAAATTGATGCACGGGGTGGGGGGAGGATACCTCATCTTTCTATACTTTTGTTTTAATTTACTGTTCTGGTAATTCACTTGAAGCTCAAGACTCTACTTCACCAGTAGCGTCCTGGCATAGAACGGTATCCTGGAGCCTGGGATGGCTGATGAGAGCCTCAGCTTTGTGCAGGTGAGACAGGTGATCCAGGTTCTGGATTCTTCCCTTGGGCTAAGAATTTGGTCGGCTTCATGGCCACCCTGGGCCAGAGTAGGAACCAGCAGCATTTTCTGCCCCTCTGCTGTTGGACACTGCCAACACGTGCTGTTTCAAGGCTGCAAATCCTCTATAGGGCTGGGCCCTGCAAACTCCCTTAGTTCTTGCACCATCCATATCATGTGTGGGTGGGATAAGGGCTCTTCCTCTCTCTAAGCCTGGCTACAGGCAGAGCTGGAAATCAGACCTGTTCCAGAGCCAGTTGATCACTGTCACAGACTATCCTGAATAAACTCCATGTTTACCTGCATGTTTATCCAAGAGCTGTGGCTCCACGCAGTAGCTGCAGGTCTCCAACAACATGCCAGAGCAATTGGAAGGTCTTTGACTGCTGGGGCCTCTTCTGCCTATGGCGGTCACTCGCCCCTCCGATACATTTTTGGGAATTGGGCTGTTCTTTGTTTGTGGTTTCACAGTGGAATGAGTCAGGGGTGGGTCCACAGGAGTCTGCAGCCCATTGTTGATATTGGGGGTGTGTTGTGATGTCTTCCAGGGGTCCTGAGTTTTCCAGAGCTCGCCCACCTATCTACTGGATAAACTGAGGTGAGAATGTCGTACCCTTGTTGGAGCTCCACAGCTCATCCCTCCAGATCCCTTTCCCATCAGATCTGAATACCGATCTTGTGGTCAAAAAAGGAGGAAGAGTAAAATTCATGCTGGTCTTGGGCTCTCTGCCAGTGTGTCCTGTGCTGAGAGGGGCCACTAGGAAGACAGGCTGTGCTGGCCTCACTGCTTTGGAAAGTGCTTGGGAAGGAAACCTCCGGTCCAGGAGAAGGGATGAWTGTCTGGCACAGGGGGCAGGGTGCCATGAGGGTTATTGGGCTGCGATTTGTAGGGAGAATCTGAGCCATGGTTTCACAGTGACCCATCAGTTTCAGACACTAAACTCTGACTCTGTTTTTTCAGGAATTACTCAGTGGAAAAAGGTGAGAACCTGGGAGCCCTGTCCCAAGGGATTCCACTTGCTTCCCACAGGGCCTCAGTTGTGGGGAARCTGCAGTGTGGAGCACGTGAGTGTCCTCTGGGGAACTCCTGGTGTTGGGTGGGCAGTAAGCTTAAGCCAAGTACTTGGSAGAAATTCTTGGCTATGAGTGATGAGAGGCCCTGGCACAGGTTGCCCAGAGAAGCTGTGGCTGCCCCTGGATGCCTGGAAGTGTCCAAGGACAGGTTGGATGTGGCTTAGGGCAGTCTGGTCTGGTGGRAGGTGTCCCTGCACATAGCAGGTGTGGAATGGGATGAACTTTCAAGGTGCCTTCTAACYCAAACCATTCTGAGATTGCATGATCTGACTGGTCTGAAGGACAGAGTATAGTTCCAGCTGACTCTGCCTGTGCTGGAAGTATCCAGTTTTTCCACCTGGACTGTGCAGGTGGGAATGATCAACCTCTTTTGGAGGCTTTTAATTGAGCAGAGTTTTAGATCTGTGGGTGAGATAAGTGGCAGTGCAGCCTGGTCCATGATGACTCCCAAATTTGGAGACTGTTGGATGAGTCCTGCGGATATGGGGCTGAGGCCTGGCATGAGCTACCCAAATAACCACAGGGTGGGGAGGGAACATCCAGGATTTCCTGAACATGGATGGAATTTAACACAGCGCTGAGCCTGACTACTTAACCATTCAACTGGATTGTTTTTTATCCTTTTTTCAGGTCTGAGCAGTGGRTGGAGCCAAGGTGAGCAATCCCTGAGGGACTTGGTACTGCAGTACCAGAAGAACAGTGTTCCATGAAGTTTCTCAGGACAGGAATATCAAATACTTGGGTAGAGCAGGGAGCCAATAATGCTAAGGTGGTGGGTTTGTTCCTGTACAGGCCATTCATTTAAGAGGTGGACTCAGTGAYCCCTGTAGGTCCCTTCCAACTTGAAATATTCTGTGTGTGTGATATGAGTTTGAATAAATGCAATTGCTTCAAATTCTTGTGTCTCTCATGTTTGGGGTGCRTTGGGATGGGGTGAGGCCAGGCTAACTCTGAGCCAGTGAGTCTTAACTAACCCCTTCCAGTGGAGGTCACCAGTGTTTTGAGGCCAATTCCTGCCCCTATTGCAGCACCCACCACTGGGGTGTCCCCCACCGCTGTGGACAGAGTTCCCCGGAATGCAGAAACGCTTGGGCCTTCATGGAGGCACCAGAGCAGCTCCTGCAGCCTTGGGGAGTTCCAGCGGCCTTAGCTGGAGCCTTGGCAATTCTGGTCTCCATGTTTTCTCACCATGGAGAAAAAGGGGTTGGGAATCGTAGCCTCTGAGTTGGRGCCACTCTCTTACTGTACAGGAGGRCTGGGCTGTGGCAAARTCCCTGCACCCGAGGTGACCCAGCTGCCAAGAGTACTTCAGTCCTGGACCATGGAGCTGGTGCCTCTGGCTGCCTCCCTGCAGTTCTTGAGAGCCTCTTCCTTGTGGAGTGTGTCCCACCCCTCCCAGGATYTTGGCTTCTGGGGACACCAGTGAGTCTGTGCATTCACCACCTGGCTGTCCCTGTTGTCACCAAAGCCAGGCAGCGGGGACAGCCAGCATGAGACAACACCAAATATGCCAGAGACAACAACGACAGTACCAATATGTTGCAAGAAAGTGATTAGAGCTGGCTAATATGTGTTCCTGCTAAAGTTTGAAATGTTTGGCTTTTGCTGGGATTTGTGTTTTAGAGTTTGGTAGYTGGGTAACGGGCAAATGGAAAAAAGTAGTTTTGAAAAGGGGATTTAGGCAAGGCGCTTTAAATACAGTGTTTTTCCKAAGTGGGTAAAAGAACTACACAGCAGCTCCACAAACTTTTTGATATGTACACTTAATCCTCCCTCTTTCCTCAGTGTTACCGGGAAGGACGAGGCCAGAGCTGGCAGCTGTTCCCTCCATGGGACASTTTGTTTGTCTGCGGGGCCAGAGCCGTTCCTCTCCCGACCTGGGGAGGGGACAAGGGTAGAGACTCTCCTGTCACCACCAGCACAGCAGGAGCACCGTGAGTCACGATCCAGYCAGCAGAACCATGGAGACAGTGACAAATTCACCCCAGGACCCTGACCCCGAGAGACACTTGCAGTTCCATGTCATCGTGCTGGGGGACACGGCGTGGGYGAGTCTTCACTGCTGCGCTGCTTCGCCGAGGGGCGGGTGGGGGTCCCGGGGGGGTGGCCACCCCCAGCCCTACTGTTGGCATTGAGTTCTACAGCCAGACTGTCCTGCTGCCACCCACCGACAGGGCCAAACTGCAGCTCTGGGACACGGCTGGCCAGGAGCGGTTCAGGTGAGGTGCATAGAGGGACCCCAGGCTCATGTGGACCCCAACACTCCACTGAGTCATCCCCCCACCCTGGGATGTTTGTAAATCCCTGGCCGGGTGTGTGAGGACAGACAGCGATGGCACACTGGAATGGTGATGCTTTAGGGGATGGTGACATCTTGTGCTGAGCTTGCAGCAACTCGGGAGCTCTTTTGAGCGGCAGCCCTCAAGGGAGCAGGACTGGATGTTGGTCATGGTGTGCTGGTGGATTGGGGCTGGGAGGTTTCTTTCCTGATTGTATTATGCTGGACCCAGGAGCTCCTGGGAGTGTGAAAGAGGCTCAAATGGGGCATGAAGGGCTGAAGAGCCAAGTGCAGTGGCTGGAACTGGGCTTCCATGCTCTCCCCATTCCTAGGAACCTTTAGGGGACCCCAGGATTAGTCTGGGGGTGCCCTGTTTCTATCCAGTGCTGTCCCATCCCCACTGCACCCCAGGCTCTTGAGGGGATAAAGGTACCACAGAGTCCCTGAAAACTCCATAGGTCTCCTCTGGAGCCCYCCCAGTCTGAGGAGAGGGAAGCTGAACAGAAAAAGGGGGTGTAAATGGCCAAGACAGTTCCCCTTTCCCACTTCTGARGTCCAATCTGTCACTGTCCCAAGCCCAATCTTAGGGTTGTTGGTATGAGAGCTTCCCAGTACCCTTCAAAACCCTGCTGGGTATGTCCAGATCCATCACCAGCTCCTTGTACCGGAATGTGGCGGGGGTGCTGCTGGTGTTTGATCTCACAGACCAGGCATCCTGTGAGCACGTCCCTGAGTGGTACCGCGAGGCTGTGGGACACCGACCATCTGCCTTCATCCTGGTGGGACAGAAGTGTGACCTGGTGGCTGAGAGAGCCGTGTCGGCAGAGGAGGGTGGATATCTCACTGCCACCCTGGGCATGGTCTTTGTGGAGACTTCAGCCCACAGCAACCTTAACGTGGAGTTGGTCTTCCAGACACTGGCTGGGGGTATCCAGCAGGCACTGGGCCAAGTGGTCCTTGCCCCATACCARGGATGTGATGGCATCAGGCTCATCCCCAGCCAGAGCCACCACCAGCCCCCTGCATGGAGGGAGCCCCGGCAGCGCTGCCAGTGTTGATGGGGACAGGGGAACATGGGACCCCCACTCATGGCCATGCTTCTCTCTCCATCCAGCACCTGCAGCCCTTGGGGTGATTACAGGGTTGCATCTCCTACTTGGGCTTGGGTTTATTTCAAAYCTTAATTTGGGGGCTCTGAAAAAATATACTCTGAAAAAAAAGTACCAAAGCCAGATGAGCTTTGRTGGYTGAGCAGGGACAGAGCTGCCCCCGGARCTCTTACTGACACAGCAAAAAGCTGATTCTTCTCCCTCTCACAATGCTTTGAATGCAAGGTGCCATTTGCAGGSGCAGGTCCTAGGCAAGGCTGCTCTGCAGGCAGGAAATGTGCTGCTTGAGGTGGCACAGGGAACCGTGGGTGCTGCTCACCYSCCTKYTCTTTGCACCCCAGGTCCGTGACTCGCTCCTACTACCGCAACTCAGCTGGGGGGATGCTGCTCTTTGACCTCACCAACCGCGCGTCCTTCGAGAGCGTCCGGCGATGGCACCAGGAGGTGACTGACACAATCCAGCCCTTCCACTGATTGATAAACCTAAGGCTTTTCCGCACTAAATAAARGCTATGCCAAGCACTGCATCCCAGGCAGGAGCACAGCACTCAGCCCATGGCRTGGGGGATACTCTGTTTTGGGGGGCATTGCTGCTGGGGCCCTCCTTGTCTGGGACACTTTTCAGGGTGTCCTGTGAGGAAATGGGAGCAGGCACCCCTGAATGCTTCCAGCTGGATGGAGYCAAAACACAGGGAAGGAAGGGGCTCCAAAGGGGCCACTTAGCACCGCTGGTGCTGGGAACGCCTCCTGGGTGGAGGAGCTCCCTGCTTGCCCGAACACGCTCCTGGAGCGGGGTGACGGGTTCTGGCAGCCAGCAGAGGCACTGATGGAGTCACGGTGGCAGTACCAGTTCCGGGTGATCATGCTGGGGGACTCGACAGTGGGGAAATCCTCGCTGCTCCGGCGCTACACGGAGGGCATCTTCCTGGACGCCGTCAACCAGACGGTGGGGGTGGACTTCTATGTGCAGTTCGTGGAGCTGGAGCCAGGGCTACGAGTGAAGCTGCAGTTCTGGGACACAGCCGGACAGGAGAGGTTCAGGTGGGTCCAGGGGGTGGGGAGGGGTGGTGAAGATACGTGCCCCCCTCCAGATTTGGGGTGGAATGTTGTGATCCCAACCCCTGGGGAGGTCCTCGATGTGGCTGTGTTCCCACCGGTCCCTTTGGGTGAGGAACTACTGTGCCAAAAGTCAAAGCCAAGGGAAAGGGGCCCTTGGGGACTGCCTTGTGAGCCCTTACTCCAACTCTAAAGGGKGTACAGGAGTCCCCCAACTGCTGCAGTGGGGCTGGAAATAGCTGGGAGTCCACTGGGTGCTGGGCAAAATGTCTTCAGCTCAGCTGTCAGGAGCCTTGACTCATCACTGTGGGRCTGTTACCACCAGTCAGGCAGCTCCTGGGGACAGGAAAATTGGGAGATGTGGCTGCAGGGGATGGGAGAGTGGCAGATCTGGGGTTGCAGGAATGGGAGACTTCCAGAACTGTTGCAGCAGAGACAGGGAGGCACTAGGAACACGGCAGCAGASACAGAAGAGCTCCAGGACCATGGCAGCAGGGATTAGGGAGCTCCAGGACTGGCAGCAGGGATGGTTGAGCCCTGGGGACATGACTGCAGACACGGGCTCTAGGGGGCTGTGGCTGCAGGGGCCAGATGAGCTTTGGTGGCTGAGCAGGGACAGAGCTGCCCCCGGAACTCTTACTGACACAGCAAAAAGCTGATTCTCCTCCCTCTCACAATGCTTTGAATGCAAGATGCCATTTGCAGGCGCAGGTCCTAGGCAAGGCTGCTCTGCAGGCAGGAAATGTGCTGCTTGAGGTGGCACAKGGAACCGTGGGGGCTGCTCACCCSCCTGCTCTTTGCACCCCAGGTCCGTGACTCGCTCCTACTACCGCAACTCAGCTGGGGGGATGCTGCTCTTTGACCTCACCAACCGCGCGTCCTTCGAGAGCGTCCGGCGATGGCACCAGGAGGTGACTGACACAATCCAGCCCTTCCGCATGGTCTTCCTGCTGGTGGGGCACAAGAGTGACCTGACCGGGCAGCGCCAGGTGGGCCAGAGGGAGGCGGAGAAGTTGGCGGCCTCGCTGGGTGTCCAGTACGTGGAGACCTCGGCCAAGGACACCTCCAACGTGGTGCAAGCCTTCCAGATGCTGACTGTGGCCATTTACCAAGCACTGCAGACAGGGAGGTTGGTGGCCACTGAGGCGTGGGATGGAGTGAAGAGCAGCTTCCCGCTGCCAGTGCTGCCCAAGGCTCAGGCACTGGAGGAGAAGCGGAAGAGATGCACATGCTAGAACTGGGGATACTGGCAGGGCAGGAACATGGTGGGCTCAGGAGGGGAAGTAGATACGGAGCAGCCAGGCACAGGCAGGAGCAACACAGCCACATTAAATACCCTTGGTCACCCTCTGCCTGCCTGTGTTTTCCTGGGAAAGAGGAAGCACAGTGGAAGGGTGAAGTCCCAAGGTGGGACTTCACAGGCCTGTAGAGGTCAATGTCACCCCTGCCTCTATTCTCTCCTGTACTGACTGAGACCCAAATCATAAARCCCTAAATTCTTTCAGGCTTCCCAAATAGAATTAAAAGTGACAAATTTATAATGGAACTCAGATGATGTATCTGCCACTCTGGCTGAGTACCTGCCCAGTTGAGTCCAGAGCAAAAATAACCACATACCAYTCTGAGGAATTGTCAGTGCCCTCTTTCCCTTTTCAATTAATCTTCATACAGTATAATATGCAAAAAAAACCCTTTCTCAAGGCTGTAGAGAGAAGATCCCCAGGCTCCTCATCCCAAAACAACATGAGGAGAGCAGTGAGCCCGGGATAATCCTGGAATCACTTCACCCACCCTGGTTTCCCCTGCAGGTACCGGGAGCCTCCGCAGAGCTGGGCAGCGAGGATGGGCCCAGCTCTGCCCGGAGCTGCAGGAGCCTCCCCATCATATGGGGGTCTGCAGTGTTGTCAACTCCCTCACCCCCACAACAGCTGCYGCAACTTCCCTGAGGTCTGAGCAGAGCAGCAACGTAAGGCAGGGACAGACAACCTTTTCAATGTCCAGCACAGGCAGAACCAGAGTTACCTTGACTCTCCTCTGTCACAACATCCCCCTCCCAGCAGTCCAGGTATCTCCACAATGGGGAAAGCTCTCACCCTGGGTTGGAGGTGAGGAGGGAAGTGACCTGCCCACCCTGACTGGCAGGTGAGGGACTGGCCAAATCTAGAATGGTCTGGAGGGAAAACTTTTGGAAGAGCAGCTGAGGATACTTGTTCAGCCTGGAGGAAACAGGGGAGACWCAGCAGGGTCTGCAGCTCCTGCCAAGGGATACCTGTGATCTCTGCTCCCTGAGACCAGGAACAGGACCAGAGGGAACAGCTGGAGCTGTGTCAAGGGAGGGACAGACTGGRTATTAGGAAAAAGTTCTTCCCCCAGAGGGTGCTCAGGCAYTGAAGAGGCTCCCCAGGGAATGGGCATGGCCCCAAGGCTGMCAGAGCTCCAGTGAGGATAGGACAAAGCTCTCAGGCACAGGGTGGCATTGCTGGGGTGTCCTGGGCAGGGCCAGAATCTGTATTCAATAATCCTTCGGAGATCCTTTCCGCTCAGGATATTCCAYRATTCTGCTTCCTGTAAACTCCCAGATCTCCCACGTCACACACAGAGCCAAGGTGACAGGGACCCTCCCCCTGCCATCCCTGTGCAACACTTCCTAAAAAGCACAAGCCTGTGCCAGGAGCATAGATTAATAATTTCTTTATTCATGTAAAACAAACGCAAGTATTTATATAAACACCGACATTACAAAGTACTGGAGCAGGAAGGGGCAGGAAGGAGGAAACAAAAACCTCTACAGATGCTTCTAATACTGTCTCATACACGATCAAATGCTCTCTCCCTTGGATAATCACTTGTATGATAAACCACTTTCAAGTCACAAAAGTCTCTGAGATATGTCGCACTCTGAGGAGGAATGAGAAACAGGGCATAGAATGTTTTTGGCAGGTCTCCTTATCAAGATATTGCTGCACCATTAATAAAAAATAGATGCTTCTCTGTAAAGCATTAAAAAAAGTATCCCACAGGTGACATCATGGAGGCTTCAGTGGAGAGGCAGATATCCCAAACTGCACTGGCGGTGCCTCCAGCTCTGCCCAGGAGCTATTTCTTGGTAGTTTTGCGGATCAGTGCCATTCTCTGCAACAAGAGTGGGAAAACAWGGGAAGCTGAGCGGCTCAAAGCAGGTAACTGCACAATACCCACAGCAGGAACGAGGCATCCCATGTGCTCCCAGGACGCTGCTTGACTTGCTTCCACACAGGTCTTTCAGGTCTGTTTGAATCTTAATGGAGTCCCAGGCTGGAGCCAGAGAAGGAAGTGTCTGGGCTGCTCCAGTTGGCACCTGGGGCAGTGGGATCAAAGCCCATCTCAAGGCCCCCTTCTCTGCCCAGTGGGAGCTGCAGCATCACCCTTGAACCTACTGCAGCTCCTTCTAGGCTCTGATTGTGGCTTAAAAACCCCAATGCAGATTAAATGGCCCAATGCAGTTTAAAGCAGAATTATGGATGTTTTCAGTCCCTTTGCACAAAGATGGAGCTGCCAGAGSCAGCTGAGAAGTGCCTGTGTGCAGCTCCCAGTTGGTTTTAACCCTCCAAAGCCCCTCAGCACCAACAGCTACTGCTTCTCTTTGGGCAAAGCCAACATAGCTGAGGAGACACAGCAACCTCAACCCTCCGCACAAACAGGCCAGAGGCTCTGGAAGTCTTTTCCAATCAAAACAACTTGGAAGAGGCTGCAAATTCAGTGCCAGGAAGCCATGACCACCATCCCCATTATCAGCCTTCCATATGATTCCTGGTGKTGTGAGGGCTCCTTACCTGTTTGTGAGCTTCTGTAGTACAGGCTTTTTTGTAGGGCCTGATTTCTTCAGAACCAAAGCCCGGGATCCACATGTTCCACTGGCGCTCTGGAATCACAGAATGGTTTGGGTTGGAAAGGACATTAAAGCTCATCCAGTTCCAACCCCTTGCCATGGACAGGGATGCATTATCTACTCATAGGTTTCCACCACAGCACTGCAGCTGTGCCCTGACTTCAGGAAGAGGTGAGAGCTGAGGGTAGAGGGGAAAAAAGGCAYATAAAGGTCACTCACCAAGGTGCAACTGGACATCTTTCACTTCCAGGGTGTTGGACTTGCGGTGCCGTGCGAGTTGGCAGGCAGCTGTCACCACACTCTCAATGAAGTCATCAGCAATCTGCAGCAGCATCTGTRGTAGAATAAGGGCAACAACCAGCCTGGTCAGCACTAAGCAGGTGAAATTATGTGGGAAGATGAAAACAAGCCCTCAGAAGCTGGTATTTAGAATTACAGAATGTCCTGAATTGGGAAGGACTCATGAGAATTATGCAGTCCAACTCCTGGCCCTGCACAGGACACCCCAACAATGCCACCCTGTGCATCCCTGAGAGCATTGTCCAATTGCTCCTGGAGYTCTGGCAGCCTYGGCRTCATGACCATTCCCTGGGGAGCCTGGGCAGTGCCCCACCACCRTCAGGAGGAAGACCCTTTSCCTCATCTCCAGCCTGACTTCCCCAGCACAGCTCCAGCTATTCCCTGGTCTTGTCCCTGGTCACAGAGAGCAGAGATTGGCAGTGCCCACCRTGAGGAGCTGCAGCTCCTGCTGAGCTCTGTCCTCAGTCTCCTCTGTTCCAGCTGAACATGTGCCCTCAGCCGCTCCTCCTGTGGCCCCTCCTGATYCATCCCCATCTCCACGGTCTCTTTTGGATGCTCTCTAATAGCTTTAGATCTCTCTTACATTGTGGTGTCCAAAGCTCCACTCAAAGGACTGGATTTCACAGGWGTTTGCTGCAATTGCTGTTTTAAAAGCCTTTTTGGCACTGGGATGCAGAAAGACAAGGATGGCTGAAGGCAGCATGGGAAAACACAGGCTAAATGAACCGACCCTCCCTCCTTGGACAAAGGGCCACTCCTCTGTGACAAATCCCAAATTAGCTTTCTGCAGTTCCTTCCATGGGTTGGAACCTACTTCCTCCACATCTTCATCCAGCTGCTCGTTTGGATCCACCTCACGCACCAGGTCCTGCAATTTCTTCTTGGTTAAAACCTGAGTGGGTGGGAGGAGAGGAATAATTTACTGCCTTGCTCCAGCAAAGAAGTCACCCATGAAGCACAGTCACAACCACAAACACCTCCTCCCCCATGCCCCAGGGGCCAAGTCACACTGTTGACACAGTGTATCAGCTCAGCAATGGTATGGATAAGAAATATCAGCTGTTAGGGAGTCATTTTCAAGCACTAGTGGTTGCTCTGGACAGCAAGCGGAATGCAGCAGCCAGGATAAATGTTTCCAGCACTAAAATGCTGCTGGCAAGGAGTGGAAAGGCAAAATTACAATCTCTAAGATGCAGACAAGACACAACTGATCAACATATCAGTGACTAAAGCTGTGTTTAGAGCACAAGGGAAGTATATCCATGGCTCTAGTTCTTATCAGCTTTAGTGTTTCACATGGAAAACAGATCTGGGAGTGCTGGGTTATTCCAGGGCAGTCAGACGTGGCAGGGAGCAGAAACCACATTGRGCTGAACAATAGGATGCTGAGTCTTAAAGGATATGGATGGACGTAGTCAGCCTGGTCAGGTCAACCAGGCACAGATGGGAAATTCCTGCCCTCCTGGTTCCCTCACTGCTGTGGGAATGGCCGTTTTATTTTGGGGTCTAGTGCACTTCCCAARAGTCTGGGTGCCAGAAAAGCCATCAGGGAACAATCCCGGGGCACTCCCCAGACAGCAGTTTATTTTATGCACATCAAAGGCTCCATGCTAGGTTGGGTTGGAAGGGAMCTGAAAGCTCATCTCATTCCACCCCGCCAGAGGAATTCAGTCTTCCTGAATCCATGGGCAGAGACACCTTTCACGAGAGCAGGCTGCTCCAAGCCCYGTCCAACCTGGCCTTGGACACCTCACCACCCATTTCTCCCCATATTTCTCCCATCTAAACCCCATGTAAAAAAACTTCCCTGTCACACCCCAGTATACATTTTCCTAAGAGTGGAAAAACCTCTATACCTACAGCATCAAAACCCCATCCAGCCTGGAAGCACCTGGGAGGGAAGAACTCTATAAAGTAGTTTTGCTCACTTAGTAACTGATGCTTTAACAAACATTATATTTCTGATGGTGATTTAAAGGAGAATGAAGCCACAGGCAAGTCTGAGCATCACYCCTGTTGTCCCAAAGGTGGGGATGGAATTACCTGGTTACTTTCAGGACTGAGCCGCCCTCCTCCGCTGGGTGTTCCTGGGATCTTTGCCATGGTGGTGCTGTTAGCCATGGAGCTCTGGGGTGGTGTGCTGGCTGGTTCTGGCTTGATCGAGAAGTTGGAGAGGTTGATCAAGGTAGAAGGGCCAAACTGGTTCATAATCTGTTAGCTTTTAGATCATAAAGCTTGTCTAGGTCCTGCTTCTTCTTGGGGTTGTGGGGAYCCAAACCAATCAACTGGAAAAGAAAAGGAAAGCTATGGCTAKCAAACAGAAGGAATTCAGCGGGGTGAACAGATCTTTGTCCAGAGAAAACTGCAGTGTCTGATGGGGCCTGGAGTTCATAGATCAGGAATCCCTACGCACAGCATAAAGGAAGAAGTAATGCTTAGTAGCWGAGAAAACCTTCCCTAGTGTATGGAAAATGAGTGGCTGCACAGCAATGACAGCAGCACTGACCCACCCACCCATTCACCCCTTGGGCTGAACCCTCCCACATCCATCCCCCCACAGTCTTCCTGAATCCATTTCCCACAAAGAACAGACCACAGAGCAGAGCAGATTTAACTGCAGGACATGGCTTGTTCCCACAACAGCTGGATCCCTCATCCCCACAATCCAGAGCCCTGGAGAGAAGGCAGGACCCAGCCTAACCCTGGGGTCCCCATAGGGTGGCAATCTTGCTTCTGGCAGCATCACGCTCACAGCCCGGCCTGCAGCGACCTTTCCAYGCAGGATTGACAGCATTGGTTCGTTTTGGGTTCTGAGAGCAAAATCTGGTGCTCAGAGTGGAAGGAACACGTGTGTGCCCACACCTGCCCCTTGTTCCTCCCACACCRACAGCCACAGGAAATGGAGTGGGATTTACGGAGCTCCCAATGGTGAACCACAAGTGGGTTGTGTGGTTACACAGATCCTCCAGGTGCTGAAGGTACTCAGGTTGTTGGTCAGAGGGTGAACACTGACTGGCACCTCTGTTTCGTGTCTGGGAGGCTCCAGGCTCAATGAACTTTTTTTCTGTCTTCACTGTTCCATGACAGGAAATTCATCCAAACCCTGAACCTTCTGCTGCCACAACCCCAATGGGGACCGTGGGGAAAGAAGGGYTTAAGGAATGGTTTGATGGCAAAGCCTCTCATGGTGGGGCCAGAGATGGCTGAGAAGCTGAGGCTGWACTCACGAGAAGAGTTTGTTTAACCAACTTTACTGGACGTTCACACACACTGTCTGCTCCCTGATCTACACAGTTCCCCTCATCAGAGCAAGCTTCATTAGTTTGGATTAATTAATAACAAAACTCAGAAAGCAAACAGCAGAATTTAGACRCAGCTGCTTTAGTGCTTCACTCCAATGCATGCTCATGCACCTACAGACATGGAGCCCTTGGAGGGGAATTTATGTCCCAGACACCCTTCTGCAGTGCCCTCAACAAGTTTCCAGCTCCATATTAACTAAATTAACAATGGAAAATCATCACACTCACACCCTAAACCCCTCAGCTGGCACTTCTGGCTGAGGAGCTAAGSACAAGATTGGGAGGGACCTTCAGTCTTGGTTTTAGCTGGGGTTGATCTGAGGCTGTTCTACCCAAGCTTCACTTCAGAGATTCATAAAGCAGGAATTCCTACCCACTATGCAGGGAAGGAAGCACTGAAATCCTCAGCCACCATGCCCCAAAATCTTTGGGCAGAAGCACTTTAGCAGCATGAAGTCATTTTGTTGGTTTATTCCCAGATCTTACTGCACCCTTCATGTGCTGCTAAGATCCCTGAACACAAAACTAATTGGAGGAGGAGATTCCCAGGGCAAATCCCACATGTCAGCCTCACTTACTTACAGCTATCTGAGTGTCTAGATCTTTAATGTTGTGGGTCCAGAGACTGGAGACGCCATTGCCCACAACCTTCCCAGAATGTTACCTACACTGGCTTCTTACTCTTTCACATAACTCTCATTCCCAAAGGGAACACCAGATATTTTTCATACCACTCATTCTATGTGAGATGGTGAGAAGAAACAGTTTCACAAGTTGTTCTCACTACAGTGCCACAGATTTCTTCGTCAGAAAAAAAAACCTGTCACTGCTGCAGAAGACAAGCATCCCACAGGATCCTGAACAAAAATAYGGCCAAATTCCCTTTTTCTGCCAGGAAACACAGTATCATGGTACCTGCTGATGTGCAGGTAAGCCCAGACCACCCACGGAGCAGCTCCCTCCAGGGCAAGAGGAGGTTTGGGGCCTGCAATCAGCACCACGACTCGTTCAGCTGTGGGACAGCACAGTGCTAGAACTGTAACTAAAATCCATATTAATGACAAACAGCACATTCCCTGGAGTGCTCAGGGGCTCTGATTTCCATCAACCATAGTGATTYTCATCAAATATCTAAATACAATCATGGAATCTCAGAATTGTTTGGGTTGAAGAAACCTTAAACTCATCTTATTCCACCTCCTGTCCATTGGCCGGGACACCTTCCACTATCCCAGGTTGCTCCAAACCGCATCCAACCTGGCCTTGGACACTTSCAGGGATGGGGCARACACAGCCTCCCTGGGCAATCTGTGCCAGGGCCTCACCACCCTCCCAGGGAGGAATTCTTTGCCAATATCCCATCTAACCCTGCCCTCTGGCAGTAGGAAGCCATTCCCCTTGCCCTGTCCCTCCCGGTGCGTGTCCAAAGTCCCTCTCCAGCKCTCCCGCAGCCCCTTTAGGGACTGGACGGGGCTCGAGGAGTCTCCCTGAAGCCTTCTCTTCTGTGCCATCCCCAGCTCACAGCACTCACCAGCCCTACGGGGACCGCCGGGATGTGAACGAATCCCCCTCCCCATGCAGAACGTCCCCGCCGGGRGTCGCGGGGCAGAGCGAAGGTCACCGACCCTCACCGGGACCGACCCGACGCCCACTCGTGGGTTCCCTCCCAGATTTGCAGCAGCCGGTACGGAGCCCGCGGGTGCTCCGCTCAGCCCCCTCGAAGCCCCCGTACCTCCCCATGACCCGCGGGCACTCCGAGGCGCCGCCGCCGCCGCCGCCGCTGCGCTCCCTCCGCCTCCCGCCGACACCCGGCAGCGCTTCCGCTTCCGCCCGTCGCCTCAGCCAATGGGGAGCGGGCCCGCCTGCGCGCGCGCCTCACAGCCAACTGGGGGCGGGCCCGCCTGCGCGCGCGCGCGCACGCATCATGACGCTCCCGCCAAAGGCGCTTCTCTCCACGCCGTCTTAGCCAAGAGGAGTACCCGGCATGCTCCGCGCGATTTGCATACGCCTGGACGGCTAAACAGCGGGAAAACGGCGCTTTTTTGAGGGGAACACCAGCAGAAATGACGCTAAGAAATGAAGAAACTTGAGACGGAAGAATGAAGAAAAGACACACAGATATCGTGCTTGGTGTTTGCAACAGCCCTCGCCCCGACCTTGTCGGTACTCTGGCACTTTCCGCTGTCGCTGAGCACAAAACAAGCTTTCAAAAAGGGCTTCTGCCGTGCGTGGCACGGGGGGGCCGCGCGCCGCCTCCGCGGAATCGACATCAAGAGATTTCGGAAGCACAATTTTTGCATTGAGGGGCCGCCGGTAACCGCTCGTTCCGGCACCCCGGTATCAGTGAACGGGAGAACTGAGGCAGAGTCGCGGAGCGGGCTGGCGAGAGTGGGGGGTTTGTGCTTACAGTGCCCGTGTCTCCGGTGCTATGGCTGGGACCAGTGGTTGATGTGGACATCTCAGACAGCAGGGGGATGGGGCAATGACTATTGACATTCCAGATCGGCGGTGCGAAGCACTGCGCTGCAACATTTTTCTATATATAATATATATATTTACAAAGGATTGTATTTAAAAAAACAACCGCGAGCATGGGGAAGGTCCCCCTTTACACACCTCCCCTGTGCCTGGTATTCCACAGTGCTCCCCTTCTCACAAGGCTTCATGGTACACATGTGCAAGGGGACAGTGCCCAGGCTGCCCATGGGATCCCTCAAAACAGAGGCTGCCAGTCCGCTCCGCCCCGGCTGGCAGCTCCCCTGGCCGCGGGGCAGGGGTCTGATACCGCACCGGGGAGCACCCAGGGGTTCCTGGGACACCGCAGGTGCTGCGATGCATCCCAGCGGGCTCTGGCTCACTGAATGGCGTGGCGTACTCAGGCTCTGGAGGCAGTGGCTCCGCGTACTCGTGGTGCTTTCCTGGGACGTCATAGTGGCTCAGGACCAGTGGCAGAGTGTAGCCCTCTTCCAGGAGTGGCTTAAAGGTCGAAGGACCCGTCTGGCTGCTAGGGCTCACCTGGACCAGGTCTGGCTCAGCATAGTCTGAAACAGGAAGGCTGCAGTGTCAGGGTGCTGTGGCAGAGGTGGGTGGCGTGGGTTGAAAAACTGGGCATGTTTGGACTGACACAGATGGCAAAACTGCCAAAACCCACCCAGGGCACGACACTCACCCACGGATCCCACATCCCTCTACCACACCACAGAGAGGGGCTCTTGCTGTCCCCAGCTACCCTCCATTGCCAACATCTGTGATAGAGATGGACTACTACTACTACTACTACTAATTAATGAGTAGTGTTATTATAATAACTAATTATAATAATTAAAAGAGAGGGTCTAATTAATCAGGATCTCCCTGTTGCACAGGACGATGTAGGAAGGGTCAGACCAGAACGGGACGAAAAATGGGCACCCCGGGGTGTCCCCCAGGGTGCAACAGGGGAAACTCAGCTCYGGCTCTGGGCCGAGGGAGCAGTCCCTGTCCCGATGTCCCTGTTACCTGGCGAATGGGTCCTGCTGAGGTCCCCTGGCATGGGGGCCATGGAGAAGGAGGCCAAGTTGGGGGCTGGCAGGCTCTGCAGGGAGCAGACCTGGCTCGACTCCAACTTGGGGTACCCTGGTCAGGGAGAAGAAACCCTGTGTTGTCACAGGCTGTCATGTGGACATGCAGGTGCCTCTGGGGGGTGCGACAGGTCTGGGCTTGGCAGGAGCACCAGTTAAACCAGCTGCACCCCACAGCATACAGGACCCCCATTTTTGGRGAGGGGTTGTGGACCCTTTTACCTTTTGTGATCCCACAGTTCAGTTCCACTGCTGACTTCCTGCCAAGGGGAGAGGCAAAATGGGGCAAGAGTTACTCCATGCCCATCACCACCCATCTCCTCACACCCACTGTACGGGGGGCTCCACCCCTCAGGACCCAGTGAGCAGCTGGATGAAGCTGTCACAATTTGGAGTGGTGATGCTGGGTCCCCCAGGGCAAAGCAGGGGACAGGACAGGACCAACCTCTTCCTGTGGCAAAGGAAAGCCAGGAGCAGGAGGCAGGAGCAGAGGAGCACAAAGCTGCCAGTGAGCAGCATCACCAGCAGTGTGGATCCTGGGGAGGAAGGGCAATGTCAGCCCTCCTGGGCTCCCCTCCACCCCTTTACACCTGTGAGTGTAAAGGGGCCGACCTGGGGCCACCAGAGGAAGGAAATAAATGTGCTCCCACAGGGGGATGAAGCCCCCGTGGCACYTGGAGTACCACAAGAAAATGCTGCACCCCGAGGACAGCCCCCCATGGCACCCACCTGCCTTCTCCGGGTCCAAGGCAATGCCAGGGATGGGGGTGCGGCTGGCTGGGTAGCTGGTGGGTTCAAGGACCTCTTTGGGGACACTAGGCACTGTGGGGTAGAACGGGGACGATAACTGTTGGACCACCACTGGGTGTACAGGGAAGTGGAARCCCCAGGAGGATGTTTAGGACATGGGGGTGTGAGTTCTTGTGGAGGGTCTCACCGTAGGGACGGGGTGCACGAACCCGTGCCAGTGGGCAGCCCACCAGGGCCACCTTCAGGGCCATGCGCTGGTGCCAGCTCTGTGGTGTGACACGGATGTAGCGGGCGACGATAGGGGGGATAAAGGCRTTGGAGACCTCCCCGTGGCTGTCGAAGTTTCCTTCAAACACCTGCTGGGGAGGGTGAAGAGGCACTGATGGCCAAATATCCATGAGCAGGGGGTCTCAGCCCCATGATATCCCCTCAATGCCCACCTTGTCCTCCTGGCCACTGCTGCCTCTGTAGGGTTTCCAATTCTTCCCGTCACGGCTGAAGGAGATATGGTAGGACATCACATAGTAGTTGTGCTGCTCAGAGGACCCCTTTGTGATGATGCCTGTGGATGCAGGAGGGGGGTCCCCGCTGTCATTCAGGGGTTGCAGGGCTGGGGAACAGCTTGGGGGGCTGCTCTCTACCCCACTGCATGGGGCAGAGCTCTCCCAGCTGCAGTAAGTCCCATCTCTGGGATACTCAAGACCCAGCTGGGAAAGGACTAGGGGGCCAGGATGTGTCACCTGGCAGAGGGGGATGCTTCCAACCCTGGGAGGGGGTTTGGGTGGCAGATTCTAGTGTGGGAGACCCTGGTCTGTCCCCAGGAGCTGATAACCTCCAGCCCCAGCTGCCAATCCTGCATTCTTCCCTCCTCCAGCCTCCGACCGGACAAAGTCCCCATTTTCCTCGCCGCAGTCACCAGCCGCTGGCGCACAAAGCCCCTGCTTTTGGCAGGCTCYGGCTGGACAAAAGGCGCTCGCTGGCACCAGATGCAAGAGCATAATATTAACTTGTTCATCCCAGAAATGGTGGAGATGAGGCAGGGAAAGGGACAGGAGCAGCTGGGGTGGTTGGTGTGCTCTGCATCCCAGTTTGCACAAGTAAAACCATAGCACAGTGAGTTCCAGTGCATCCCGGGAGTTATGGGGGTGCAACTGCCCTGGGCAGTTTTGTAGGGAKCAGTGAGGCTGGCACAGGGGGAGGACAGTAGTCAGGATGACAACGGGCAGCTGTTGCTCCCCTCTGATGGCCAACTCTCACCTGTGACATTCCTTCGGGTACCTAGATCCAGCTCCAGCCAGGCAGCCTTGGTGCCAGGTTCAGCCGCCCAGGAGTGGCCGCTGGTGCTGAGTGCTGCCCGTTCGGCCCCCCAGGATCGGCTCTGGCCCAGCGCRTCCACCTCATGCCACCAGGATGAGGCATTGAAGGTGGCCACCTCCAGCACATCATCACAGGCTGGGGACAGGAGAGAGCACACTGGGAACCCAGAAACCTTAACCAGGCACGTGGGTGTGGCAGYGGGTCTTTCAGCCATTTCAGGGGAAATGGGAAAGAAATACCTTTGTGGAATATGAGTCGCTTTTCAGAGAGGGATCCCCTGGGTGGAGGAAAGAAGGGGGACCATCAGACAGTGGGTGAACAAACCCTGGGAGGGTGTCTGAACTGAGGGGTGGCAGGTTCCCAGTGTCAGTGTGAGTGCGTCCTGTAGCTGTGTGTGGGGTGCAGCCCCAGCCACTTCTCACCCACCTTTTGGAGTGGAGCCCGTTGGCGAAGGCTGACTCATAGAGCGTGATGCCTTTCTCCCGGGACAGGGTGACTTGACCGCCCAGCTCATCTGCRATCACCCCAGCATGCACGGCTGCCTTGCACAGCACCGATGTCTGTGGGGAGCAGGAGTAAGGGCAGACCCCCTACAGGCCCGAGCACCCCGTGGGGCACCCCAGGGCCACACCAATCACCTCTGTGCTGCAGGGGTGACTGTCCCCGCTGGTTGCACCATGGTGCCCACACTTACGTCCCGGTAGCCCTGGCTCGGGTTGCCCCAGATGTCCCCATAGATGTCCTTGCAGCCCGCAGGACAGTACACACTGAAACACATGGTGCAGGGGGGTCAGGGCTCCCTCCCATCCAAATCCCCTTTGCACACCTACTGTGCTCCCCATCCCACCAGAACTGCACCTCAGGAGCGGGATGGGGGTGAAACTGGGGCTGACGGGGWCCCCTGGGGTAGGGGACACCAAAATGGAACCACTCGCCCCCGCAAACACTTACCTGACGTGCTCCTGGGTGTAGTGGGTGCCTCGAACCAGGCAGGTGACCAGGTCTGCAAGGCAGGGACACCCCAGGGTGAGGGACCCCCACCTGTCCCACAGCACACACCCACTTCTGCCCCAGGGCACCCCATTCCCATGCTCTTTCCAACTGAATCCTGCTCCTCATTTGGGTTTTGCCCCCCACATCCCCAAATCTGGAGGGGCAGGGAGGGATGGCCCCCTGGTCCCTSCAACCAGGGTGCTCAGGGTGATGGGAGCCTATCATGGGGTCAACAAGGAGCTCCCTTCATCCCCCTGCGAGGGCCAAGACACATCCCAGGGGTGTCTCTGCATCCCAGGGGATGTCCCCTCATACCTGGATGCTGCGAGGTGGCATAGGACAGGAGGAGGCCTCGTCCTGAGCGGTGGCTGGTGCTGTTGAACAGGACGGTCACAGTGCTGGAGTTTGTCACCAGGAGTGGGGCAGAAGGAGCAGAGTTCCTGCAGTAGGGCCCTGCCAGCAGGGATGGCACCGTGGAGAGGATTTGGAGTCTATGGGGACATGCTTGGGCACATTCCCCCTGGAGTGGTGGTCCCATGCAGCATGGTCCTATGCCAGGCTGGTCCCATCCTGAGGGTGGTCTCGTGTTCCAGGATGGTCCCAGCCCCAGGGTGGCYCCATCAGGCACCTGCCACCACACCCTTCACTGCAGGGACCACTGCAGGGACTGGTATACGTGGCATCACCCCACGCGATGCTTTTCCGCAGGGGCTGTTTTCTTGTCCATTCCCCATCTCCCCATTTGCAGGTGCTGCTGAAGCTGCCTCCTAAATCCGCCCCTGCCCCTACTGCCCCCCCTCCCCCCCATTTAATCCACATTAATTTGCAATCTCCATCTCCCTGATTAAAACTTTGGCTTAATAGGCAGGCAGGTTCCTTAGGGTCATCTCTGGTCCTAGCTGGGGACAGAAGGTGGCCCCAATCCCTGGACTGCCATCACCCCGTCCYCCACATCACTCTGTTGTGTACCATGTCTATCACTGGGGCCTCTGGGCACCCAGAGGTGCTTTSAGCAAATGCCTTTGTTGTCCTGGGGACTGGGAACTGCATCCCTATGTCCCCATGGGGCTGGTGGTGACACCTCCCCCTGTGTCTCAGTTTCCCTACCCTAACCGACATCCTCACCCAGCCTGGGTCATTTTGAACTGGGAGGTTGATCTCAGGGGACGTGGGACACATGTGCATGCAGAGATGTCACAGATGYGACAGAACTGGAGTCTGCATGATATGCAGATGAGATGCAGATTATATACAAGCAGATTTCCTTCCCACCAGTTGCCAGATGCTGGCACTGCCCTGGATCAGTGCTACCACATCTATGCAGACCCTGGTGATACCCTAGGAGCTGGTAACCCCTCAGCTGAGCCCTGGARGCTGCCTCCCCCATGGGGACCCTGCCACATCCACAGCAGAATCAGGCCAGGGGCCAGACACCAGGTCTGAGTCAGCAGGAAGGAGCCCACAGCCTCCGCCTACTCCAGCCACTTCCCAAAAAACATCTGGCACTTCTCAAGGGCTGACATCAGCCCTGGAAGAAGGAGTGGGACCCCAGCCCTGTGTCTTGCTGGCATGGCCCTGGTGGCACTCAAAGGGACTGTGAGTGCCTGGCCACCTCCCCCAGCCTCYCAGCACCTCCCCTGGCCCCCTGGGAGCATTATCTGGGGGTCCCCCCTTTCCCATATTGCCTCATCTCAGCCTGGGGCCAGGAGGTTTTTTAGCTTTGGGGACAAATATGTCCCTGAGGCCACTGCAGAGAGGATGGGGACCAGGGACCTCGTGTGCTGTCACCCCTCTGGGGACTAACCCAGCAAGGGTGAAAGCCCTGGAGAACAGGGAAAATTCCCAGTCCAATGGATCCAAGTTGGCTCCTTTCCATCCTGCATTTCCCATCACATCCTCTATCCAGTCCCTGTCCCTCACCAGGGCTGCTCCTCTATCCCATCCCATATCCCATCCCATATCCCATCCCATCCTTTGATGCTTCCTCATCCCCAAGACATTTTGCTCAGCACTTGTCATGCTCCCAGTGCTGCCAAATCCCTCCAAGACCATTAATCTGTCTGGGAAAATCCTGGAAGCATTTGGGCAGCAGCTGGGCCGAYGAATTAATTAATCAGTGGCAGCATGTGGTCCCAGCTGGGCAATAACTGCCTCCTTGAGTAYCCACCTCCTCAGATATCCCCATTCRCAAATAYTACTCTCCTTGGATATTCCCCTCCCACCATGGATATCACCCTCTCTATTTGAGTACCCCCACTCCTCAGGTACTCCCACCCTTGAATATTTTTCTTCCTTGGATAACCCGCTGAGATATTAGGTACCCCCACCCTCCAATATTCYCCTCCTTAGACACCCCCTTTTCAAATATCCCCTTCCTTACATACCACCCCACTTGGGTACCCCCCTCTTCAGATATTCTCCCTCCCCATGATGAAATCAGCTAAACCCCCAGATTTTCCTGATATTCTCCATATCCATAACATTATACTACCCCCACCTCAGTTCCCTCTGAATACCCCTTACCATAGGCAGTGCCAGCCTGGAGGTCAGCGAGCAGCAGGGAGCTGTGGGCACAGTGCTCTGAAGGCTCCAGATCCACATCCCCAAATGCCAGGAGTAGGGAGGTATCTGGGGGMACTTGGAGCCGCCAGCGGCACATGGTGTGGTTGGGATACGTGCCTGGGTAGTTCTTGGAGCTCAGGGTGCCACTGTGGGGTGTCAGCAGTGTGTGGCCACAGCCGTTTCCTGCAGAGACACCAGGGAGGGGGCTCAGATAAGATGCTCCCTGCCTCAATTTCCCCACTTGGTGAAGCCTCCAGAACAACCCCATGGCACCTGCAGCCCCTTCAAATGTTTTCCTTGTCTAAAGCATCATTTTCTGGTAGCTTTTCTGGATACTTCTGGCACTGGGAACTGTCTGCAGGGGGATCCASGGATGAAGCTGCCACAGTTTCCCCCACAGCCACCCAGCACACCCCTCCATCTCCTCTACATTCCCCAGTCCAGAAGAACCCCAATTTGAGGGGATACAAAAGGATTCAGGGAGGGAATAWCCCCACCCCATGGGGCTGTACAGCATAAGGCAGCACCCGGGACGCCCTGGCTGCAGCCTTGACCTTAAGGATAACTTTGRGCAGCTGCATCCCCATCGCCTCCTTCCCAGGGTGATACCAGACCCACCACAAAAGGGGCTTTTCTCCGGTCTCACTGCCCCTGAGCACTAGGGAATATCCTGGAAATAAGCTGAAAGTGCCCACTGTTGAGATCTGGTCAGAATTTCTAGGCAGKATGGGGATGCAGGGAAAGGCAGGAAGCACCTCTCAGCCCCTCTGTGTGGGCTGGGGGTTTGTGGGGCTCCAGTGCTCAATGTCTCCTCCCCACATCCCCCAAAAGTTGCTGCTCCTGCCAAGCATCATCCTGGCACAGCCAGAAAGAAAAAGGATGATGGGCATAGATTTGCCCAGTCTTGGCTCCCGTCGCTGTCGCCGGGAGACACACACAAAGCGCCAGCACGGGAAACTCCAGCAGGGATAAAAAAGGGAGGGGGTAGAGGTGAAAGATGCCAGCCCCCCCCACAGAGCCCCCTCCTCCCCAGCCTGCGGGAAAGGCTGGCAGTAAAACCGAGGCAACTCCTGTGGGACTAGAAGAAATCACCAATTTTTCCCCGTTTTGGGCAGGGTCTGCTGACAAGCAGAGCTGGGAAGGATCAGGCCCTTCARAAGTGGGGGCTGGGGGCAGGGGGTGCAGTGGGGACCTCAGGGCTGCCTGGACAGTGGCTCCCAGAAAGACTGACCTGCTGGGAGAGAAAAAATTCTAATATTTACGGGGAGTTTCTAGCACAAAGTTGAAGCCATTAGATTCTGCATGGAAAGCCCTGTATGGGCAGGACAGCTGGACATGTGAGCCCAGCTGGGGGGTCTTAGATGGACCACCCCAGCTCCATATCCACACTGGTGGTGCAGAGGAGCTGCAAGGGACCCATTCCGGGAAAAACTCATCCAAGGAAAGGAAATCTTTGTTAAAAACATCCCGAGTGTGACCAGCATGCGCCAGGAGGGCATGCCAGAGATAAGTCGAGAGCTGCACRCACTCTTGGGAATTTGGCTCCAAAGATGCTCCAGAGGGGCCGGGAACGCCAAAGCAGAGCCACGGGAGACTTGCCCCCAGCCACGGAAACTTCACACCCCTCCCAAAAAATGGGAAAAATGGATTTCCGGTGGGCTATGGTGACATCACGGCCGGGCCCCGCTGGGGTAATTTCTGCCAGGGGTTTGTTTGTTTTCTCACAGGATGCAAGAAAGACACAACAGGGCGATGCTCCGGGAAAAGCCCGGCACATTCCTGCTTTTGTMATGCTGCCGGTTCCAGGAAGCTCTCCTGCGTCCACCAGTGGGTTTGGGATCCAGTGGAAACCCGCTCTAAGATGTGCCCCAAATCACACTACGGGAACTTAGCGGGATTCTGCCTCCTGTGATCCCGACCTGGCCCCGTGCTTCAGGAGCTCCTCGTTCAAAATAATGCTTTGGATGACCTGTCATTGTCTTCTCGCTCTTAAGGATGAGTGAGACCGGGAAACACGGACTTTGGGATGAGGTTTGGGTGAACATTCCCTCGGGGTCGTCCTGGACCCCCTGGCTACARAGCCTCCGTGACGGATGATGTGGGGCTCCACAGCATTCCCGGGATGGAGCCCACTGCCTGGCTCTCCCGGCTCTGCATGTAAACTCCAGCGATCCTCTTGTACCCGGGGATTAGGGGTTCCCGGGGATAGCCCTGCAGGCGGGATGGAGCCAAGCGTGGGACTCTCGAGACGCAGTTCGGGCTGGTTCGGCACCGGGGGCAGGGACAGAGAAAGCTGGGGGGCTGCGGGAGCGGTGGAGGCAGCAGAGAGCTCGTCCCGACCCAAACCGGAGCAGATACCAGGGACCCTGTCCTGGATCAGTACCCGGAGAGAGGGATGGAGGGAACCCCATCCAGATCGGTACCGGGACAGAGGGATTGCGGGGATCCCGCTTCGGATGGGTACCGGAGCAAAGGGATGGCAGGTCCCCCGTCCCGACTCCGTACCGGGACGGAGAGGGATGGCAGGGACCCCGTTCCGGACAGGAACCGSGGCAGGCGCACCACGACGACCCTGTCCCGGTGTGGTCCGGTCTGGACACAGCGGGGAACCGTTCCCGGGAGCCCATCCTGGTCCGATCCCGGTCCAGACACAGCGAGGAGACCATCCCGGACCGTCCCTGGGCAGACGCGAGGGTGTCCGATCCCCCTTCCCAGTCCCCATCCGAGACCAAGTTCCGATCCCCTCCCGGCAAGTGAAGCGGAAGCCCGGGGCTCCCGGTGCCGCGTCCCGGTGTGGGATGTCCCGCCGCCGGCGCTCCGCAATCAGCACTCACCATCCTGTGCGCTAGCCGGGCGCAGCCCCAGCGGACCGAGCAGGAGGCAGCGGCGGAGCAGCGCCAGCGCCAGCGCCCCCGGGGCTGCACCGCCACCCGCCCGCATCCTACTCCCGCTGCCGACGCCCCGGCCCCGCCACGGCCCAGCCGCGCTGCCGCCCCGGCCCCGCCGCCCTCCGCCCCGCTCCCGCTTGCCCTGCCCATTGGCTGTCGCGGCCGCCTCCGCCTCGCCATTGGTCCCCCTTGTTGTCAGTCGACCGGCCCGCGGAGTAGGGGGAGTGGGGGCTTCGGCGGGCCGGCTGTGGGAGGTCCCTGTGGTGCCCCGGGGGCTGGCTTGGGGCGGGACGGAACATACCCGGTTCCGCGTCCCACGGCTCGCTCCCGGGACCGGGGGGCAGCGAACCCCTCCGTGACCCCCCCACGGGCAGTTCGTGGCCCGGGCCGGCGGGAGACGCCGCGAGTGCGATAACCGCCTGCAGCCACCAGGGGGCAGCACAGCGCCGCGCGCTTGGTCGCTCGGCCCCTTTAAGGCAGGCGGCGGCCGGAAGTGCTGGCGGCCGAGGCCGCGGCGGGCACTGCGCATGCACTGCTGCTGCCCGGCTCGGCCCCCCCCCCCACCCCCCC